GTTCTGAAATAATTTTGGTGTGTAGAGGAAAAAAAGTTGATAATTTCTTATTTTATTTCCTTTGTTTTGATTAAAATGTGAGTTTGAATAAAATAAATGTATAATAAGAGGAGAAAAGAATCTTTTCGGGGTAAATGAGGTCTTTGAGGCCCTCTCTGGTCCGGGGCCCTGGACTCCTGAGGCCTGCAGGGCCTCTGAAGCAGACCGGGTCTTTGGAAGAGAAGGTGGACGGCTCGGATCCGGTTCGTCCTGGACTCGGTCTGCTGAGATCCATCAGGAGGAAACAGGTGGGCGAACCGGGCCTGCGAGGCGGGCTGTGGGGTGAAGCAGAACCAGCACACAGGACGAACCGGGCCTGCAGACTCCGGACTCTCCAGGCCCGACTCCGAGCCGAGAGGCGACAAAATAAAGTCACGTGATCCAAAATGGGCGGTCCTCCGACGGGGGCTGAAAAAAGCCATTTTCTGGCGCCGCCGCACGGTTCTGTCCAAGTGCAAATAAGTGATCCGGATCCRGGATCGTCCGGGAGCAGAGAAGTGGACGTTTGGGTCGGAGCAGGTAGGACCGGAGCGCCGCGGGGACCCGCAGAGGGYTCGGTGTCATCAGAACCTCTTGTTCTGATGCGGATCCTGTCAGTGGATTTAAGATGGCTGCTTTGTGTACCAGCCGGATCCTGCAGACCCTCGGTCGGTGTCGGGTGGGGGGGGGTGGGTTCGGACCGCGGAGCTCCCGGTGCTGGTGGGGTGGAGGGGAGAACCGGAGCTGCTGTTTGGGTGCAGGATCTGAGCCTCCCCCCCCTCACTGCCCCACACACATTGGACCGGACCGGACCGGACCGGAGCGGAGCTCATCGGTTCGGTCCGGGTCTCTGCTGGGTCTGTCCCAAGGACGAGCTGCAGACAACAATGTGTCTGAGAGCCTGCCGAACCGAACCGAACCGAACCGCCTATCGTCCGGGCTGCATGTGCTTCCCCTGCAGGTCACCATGGAGAAGATGCAGCCGAACCGGGTCAGGATCACGGACCTGAACCCGCTCCTCACGTGTCCGCTGTGCACCGGGTACCTGATCGATGCCACCACCATCGTGGAGTGTCTGCACTCCTGTAAGTCGGAACCGGACCTGCTGATGGTTCAGAACCAGGCCTGAGGAGGTCCAGCRCAGGGGGAGGGTGTGTGTGGGTCTTACACAAAAAAACAGACCCCACATCAGAACCACCAGAACCACCATCAGAACAAACCACTGGAGAACCTCTAAAGGTCCAAACGGGTCTGATGTGGACTCTAAATGTTCGGCTGYTAAAGGTCCAAACCTTCTAAACTTTATCCCTCCAATTATATCGATTTGTTCTGAAGTGCGGGTCTGCGCTCAACGTAAACAAAGCCTGAACCTGTCAACAAACACCTGAAGCTCAGGTCACATGACCGAGCTGCACCGGGCTTCAGCTAAACTGATGTTAGCTGCTGAGTTTTAGCTGTTTTCAGTCACTTCGGCTGTTTCTGCAGGTAAATAAACAGACTGTTCTGTCCTCTTGTTGCAGTTTGTAAGACCTGCATCGTCGCCTTCCTGGAGACCAACAAGTTCTGTCCCAGATGTGACGTCCAGGTCCACAAGACATGTCCTCAGCTCAGCATCAGGTCCTCAGAACACATTTTATTTTATTTTTTATTTATTTATTTGACTGTTWTTTATTTTTAGTCCAAATGTCTGAAATCATCAACCTTTCTTCCTCCAGATCAGACAAAACTCTCCAGGACATCGTTTATAAGCTGGTTCCTGGGCTTTTCAAAGGTAAGAGCCACCGGTTCTGAAAAGAACTGTTGGTTCTGGTCTTTGTTTTTTGCGTAACAGGAAGTGTTTTTTTTTTTTTTTAATTCAGACGAGATGAAACGGAGGCGAGATTTCTACGCAGAGAACCGGGTCCTGGAACCGGGCGAGGTGGTGGAGACGTTCAACATCGCCGAGGATGAAATCATCAGTCTGTCCATACAGTTCTACGAGCGGAACAAGTGAGTCCCAAACAGCTAAAACCACTCCAACCTTCGGCTGCTTCTCCTCCAACTCAAATCTGAATCATTAAAGTTCTGTTTCTGGATGTTTTCCTGCAGAAACAACGAGCGGCAGCGCTCAGAGGTGGAGGCAGACAAGGTGAAGACGCTCAAATCAGAACTTTGTTTGGTTTGTTTTGACTTCCTGTTCCCCATCTTTATTTTGTTTTTATTATTTTTCTGTTTTTAGTCGAACGGGAAACGCTTCCTTCAGTGCCCAGCAGCCATGTCAGTCATGCACTTAGCAAAGTTCCTGCGGAGCAAGATGGACATACCCAGCAACTACCGGGTAAACACACACACACACACACACACACTGCGATATTAGGACTAAATTAGACAGCCTATCCAATGCTAACATTAGCCTATTCAATGCTAAAGCCATCTTATCCAATGCTAACATTAGCCTATCCAATGCTTACATTAGCCTATCCAATGCTAACATTAGCCTATCCAATGCTAAAGCCATCCTATCAATGCTAACGCCGTCTTATCTAATGCTAACACTAGCCTATCCAATGTTAATGGCAGCCATTGGTCTGAGTGTTGGATGTTGGTTCTGGTAAATGATTAAAGTTGAAGTTTTTTTTTGTTTCAGGTTGAGGTGTTGTACGGAGACGAACCATTAAAGGACTATTACACCTTAATGGATATCGCCTACTTCTACGAGTGGAGACGAGTGAGTATCAGCCAAAACCTTTCATTTTGTCAACAAGATCTTTTTTGTCCTGATGCATCTCAGTAATCCAGGTTAAAAATCAAAAATAAAAAATTGTGTAGGTCTTCTGGACGGGTTCTTCTCTAATGAAACGTTTCGTCTCTCTTCCTTCAGTCTGAGAGTTTCAGGAAAAAGATCTTTTTTCTAAAAACATTTGGCTCAGAGTCCCTGAGATGGACTGAGGACTTGTCTTAAGTTCAGTCAGGTGTCTCCTCCCAACTGAACGTCGTTCTGTCCCTTTATTACACGGTTTTGTTCTTTTAAGCTAAATTGCTGACAAATCTGTTCAGCAATTTTCGAGTCTCTCCTGGAGAACTGAACCTGTCTCTGAAGGAGAGTCCAGCGACCCTGCAGAGACAACTCACTGGGTTCTTTCAGTCACTGGTTCTGGTCCAATCTTTCAAACAGGACTGTGTTGCCATCTGAGGYGATTATCTCATACTGTCACTTGTGGGGTTCCTCAGGGGTGAGTCCTTAGCCCCTCTCTACCTTCAAAGAGTTTCCTGTCTCACATGCCAAAATCTTTAGATTACCAGATCCAAATCTTAGCACCATGGTGGACCGGGCCTCTGCTCTGCTGCTCCAGTAGAGTCCTTTTAAAGATAAATCAAAAACTTTTTGTTTGATTTTCTGCTTGTAAGATTGGTTTCCTCAGATCACAACATTTGGACCTCGGCACAAAAATAAAGTGTTATGTTTTATAAATGTTTGTTTCAGTTTTGTACACTTGACTCCCATCAGCGGCTCTAACGGCGTGTTTCTTCCTGCAGACCGGACCCATCCCGCTGCAGTACCTGGTCAAACCCACCCGGAAACGCAGGAGGCCGTCCCAGTCCGCCGCCCAGGGCCACTCCGACGGCGTCAACACGAGCCAGACGTCGGAGAGCGACTCTCAGAGCGACAAAYTCCACAGCCCCGCCCAGCCGCCCCGCGCCTCTCCGCAGTCTGGCCCCGCCTCCTGCAAAGCTCCCCCCGCCGTCCAAAGCTCCAACGGCGCCGTTCCCGCCGCCACGCCCAACAACGTCCAGCGACACGCCCTGGCCTCCAAACAGGCCATCGGCAGTCGCAAGGTGACTGTGACTGTGAACGGCACGGGCTCCAGCGCCGGGAAGGAGGAGGCGAGGGGCGGCGAGAAAAGTGGCTTACCTCCGACGACCTAACCAAGGAATGTTTCTGGTCCCGCAGAGCCAAGCTGATCCTGATTGGAYGAGCAGGAGAGACTGAAGGGTGCCGGCGGACGGACACTATCTGTACGTGTTCGTGTGGTAGAGTAGCTCCGTGCACACGTCCGAACTGTACAGCATGTATCGAACATGAGCATGTGTGCGTACATATGTATAAACTTATCTTTTATACGAGATATCGTAATCGTTTTGTATCGTATACGCAGTGGCTCTGGTTCATTCCACAGAGGCRCTCTTTTTTCCACCTCCAGTGTGACCCCGGCGGCTCCGACATGTTCGTTATCGTGATGCACTTTGTTCACGTCGCAGAAACCGAGGAGTATTTTTTTTTCCAGCAACAGAAGCTTTTTTTAAAAAAGAAAATTCACACACAAGTCGAAGCACTACCGGCTGTCTGTCATGATGGTCCAAGAACTGAAGAATAAAAGTTTAAAAAAAAAAGGGATTTGGATATTTTGACATGTAAGTTGTTCTATAAATTTCATCATTCCCTTTGTTGCTTTTCAAACAAACCCTTTTTTAATCCGACATACGTGCATGTTTTAGGTCAATAAAATGTTTACTTACAAATGTTTTTTTTTCTCCAGTCTTGTTTACAGTTTTTTAACAGAGCAGTGGTGGGCACAGCTAACAAAACTTAGCTTCACTAACCACCGACACGCTAAACAGATAGCAAAATGATTGGAAGCTAATGCTAACTGCTAAGATATCAAACCTGCTGTTAGTTTTTTATTGGCTTAAAATGCCTGTGATGACAAATTTTTGTAATAAACGAATGCATTTTTAGAAAGAGGACATCAATAAAATATTGCAAAATAAATTTCATGTCGCTGAGATGAACAGTTGAGATATTTGCCTGTGAAATAACAGGAAGTGATGTCAAAGGGGAATGTCAGCATGTAAACAGAGCTCTGCTACAACAGCTGATAACACAGACTGTAGAGAAGAATCTGATGTTTAAATTATTTTGAGTCACTATCAGAGAGATGAAGAAGAGTAAAATAAAATTGTTTCATGAAACAAAGACCAGAGTTCTTTCTTAGACTTCCCCTTTGATGTCACTTCCTGTTTCACTTTGTCTGAGTAAAGTTAAAAAGAAAATATGCGATTTATGTGATATAATGGGTTAAATCGTGTGTGTTCCATCTTTTTTAAATATAAATTAGTTTTTTACTTTTTGTATTTGAAGAAGGTGCATGTC